TTTGTCGTTCCTGTGATAAATAATTCACACATATTTTTGTTTTGTAAAAATATTATTTTATNTATGGAAAATAACGATCGGATTTGGCTGAAATAGATTCATAAAAATGATTAAATCTAAGAAAATCATCGGTATTTCTACCTGTCTGACCAACGTTTTGTTCAGGGATTTCCCTCTACTAGCGCATGCGCATAGCACACCATTTCTTTGTAAACAAAATGACTGGCCGTGTGAAGTAAGCGAAAGAAAAGTGTTGTACCGTGTCAGCTACGAAACGAAAAGTTGCCAAATGGTCAAAAGATAGCACAAGGAGTACGTTACGGAATCATTATTGCAGGTGGGCAGTAACCTGCCGTAGCAGTTAGTACGGTGCATGCATTCTTCCGAATAGCCCGTTAAGCTGAAATGGAATCGACAGAAATGCTAGCGCTGTTTATGTAATGAATAAATATCTAAAACTATTAAGCTCGTTAGTATCTTTGTCCGAGTTTGAACACAGATGTTCTTAGTTTAATATGTTAATGTGCATGCATTGGAGAGAGTTTACTTTGTGTTTCTATAATTATACAGTGGTTTATGCGAAAGGAAGGGATAAGTGACTGGTTAGTTTGATTTTTCCATGAGGCCCTCCAAGGGATAACTGTTGTGATGGCCCACGGCGTATTTTCTGGGTCACCGAGATACGTGTTATCGAAGTCCGTGGATTTACATAATTTATAATATTACCGGGTTCAATAAAATGGTATGATTTAATTATATTGCTGAATTAAACGATTATTTTTGTTTTTACATGCAAGATTTAAATTAGTACTCATATGAATACCCGGCCTCCTCTGCCTCGGCAACATACAAAAAAAATCAGAAAGGTTGTCCCTTGGTGTAGGGAAGGTGTTTAGCCACGTACCATCTGTACCGGCCACATTCCGGTACTAAATTCAATATATATTTAAATATATCTACTTTATGTTTATGCCTATTATCATTGTTGACATTTAGTTGTAAATGTATGACGGGAGAAGGCTGTGATAAATTGTAAAAACTTGTGCCCCATCCCTTGTTTAATTTTATTGGCAACACATTTATGTTTAAAGCTAATAAATTTAAATTCTGAATATTGGCAAGTGTGCAATTAACTTCTAATGATGAATACTTACTGTTCAATAAGTTTGAATACGGACTTCGAAATCATATAACTTGGTTTCATAGTGCGGCAAGAAGTTGCATCGCCTGACGGCCCCTCTCTGGGGGCCTCTTTGGAAACCGTTTCATCTCGCTCGCACCACTTGTGTTTACTGCCTAGTCAGGTGACGTTATTGGCGCTATTTTTAGCAGGGCTTTCCCGAACAATTCAAGTGGTCAAATTGGACATTTGGAACGGACTATGAATATGGGGATAGCGTGGTAACATAAGTGGAAGTGCATACAATACATAAATTCATTAAAAAAAAACGCCTTTTCACGTGATGTCCCTTTAAAACCTGTTCAATATTGGTACATTTCAGGCACATTTTAGGCACAATTAAGGCATGCCTAAAATGTGCCTTTTTATACCTCTGACTGAGGTATACCTAAAATGTGCCTAAATCGTACCTCTGACTGAGGTATACCTGAAATGTGCCTTGATACGAGGTACATTTAAGGTATGCCTAAAAAATATCTATCCTTACTGGGATTAAATTCCTACTATCCCTGCTAACTTTTTCAGAAAATAACTAGTCAAGATTTTTGCAAACAATATTTTATTGTGATACATTTACTGATTTCTAGTTGAAACAGTACAAATTTAAATAATCATAAGTTAAATAAATTAGAACCTTTATAATATAGACAGATATACACACTGACAAAGTGATAATCTAAAAAGTAATGAAGTAACTTGAAGACAATTATTACTGATGAAATCTTTTGCATGTAAATTAAAATATTTAAAAATTTGTTAACAATTACTAAATGGGATACAAACTTTCGATAATTTAGATTTATTCAGCTTCATAGAATAATATATATACAAACACATCATAAAATAATATAAATGGGACAATCCCTTACAGTTATACCTCTTCATCTGTTCATAAATCAAAAGAGGTTTTTGGGCTTAATTAACATAATGTTTAAATTGCAAAACTAGATGGAGTATTGAAGTTCAATCATTTCATTTGTTGTCTCTGGGACTTTTGTAAAGAAGAAAGAATTTAATATGAACATGTGATGATGTGCATGTGTCAAAAATAATCGGGCAAATATATATAAGTACAATATCATATCATATATTAAATAACTTATAAAAGACTATGAAACTTTATTAGGAGACATATATGCCCAACTTAAGTTATGGCCTTATATCTTTTCAAGCATTGCTTAATTATGTATACAAGGAATACCCACAAGTATACAATGGCATGGAAAATGATTTGTTAAGGTAAAGAAAAATAGAGTTATTGTATGTAAAACTGTGACAGATACAGATGGAGAGAGGGAGAGAGAGAGAATACTTTTTAAATATTTATATGCCTAAATTTGTTTGTGTATCATAAGTGTAGAAGACATATTACAGTTTGGCTTGCCAACAAACATTGGGAATTTACATAATTGCTTTTAATTACAAGAAAATGTTTGCTCTATGTCAAGTACATATTTTGTACTGTAATATTGGCGAAAATAGCACTGCCTCAATAATTGTCATGTTTGCTGTACTTTATTATCTGTATTTTTTGTATATAATTCTTAACAACTTTAAAGCAGACATTTCATGCAAATGTACAATGTTATTGTCCAGTAAAAAAATAAAGAATATTCATATTTTGATTTTATTGATTGAAAGATTTATTTGTCCATAATTTTCAGGCATATTTACAGTTGTAGTTTGATGATTAAAAAAATACTGAAACAAATACCATGGATTGTATTGAGGTGTTGTATACTCTCATCTCAACTACATCTATAAACGGGGGCCGAGGTGGCCAAGTGGTTAAGATGTCTAACATTCTGCTACCACCAGCCCTCCACCACTGGGTCGCAGGTTCGAGGCCTACGTGGGGCAGTTGCCAGATACTGTCCACAAGTCAGTGGTTTTTCTCCAGGAACTCAGGCTTTCCTCCACCACCAAAACCTGGCACGTCCTTAAATGACCATAGCTGTTAATAGGACGTAAAAGACAAACCAAACAAAACGTCTGTTCTTCATTCAATCCTTCAATTTGAATTGATGTTTTAAGGAAATCTGTCACAGCTGTGAGTCGCACCACATGAACTGCTGCAAGAAGTGATATCTACACTGACATAATGCACCCGAGATGAGATTGCTCAACACAGTACTACTATAACTCGGAGTTTTTGTATGATCCTGCTACCTGTTACGAAAAGTGACATTTAACTTGTTTTTATGCATATTAATAAACTTAAATTTATTGGAGTAGGAAAACAAATACTAGTCAAAATATATACTGATCACCTGTGTTCACAAAGGGACCATATAAACCATCCTTTGATGAATCAAAACGTTGCCCATTCATTTTCACAAGAACAAATTCGGAACGCAAAACAATCCACTAAACAGGATATTCCAATCTCTATAAACTGTCATTGCCTATAATCACATATTTACTTGTAATAAGCTGACTTTTTGGCCTTTTTTTGGAAAGACCACAGCTTAATGATAATGATAAATTTGAGACAAAGTGGCCCTTTTGACAATCTGATTAAAAACATGTTACATGGCTTCGTTAACTTCGTACTACGCCTGAACGGAGCCATGTAACAGATTGCCCTTTTGAGAGACTAAAATTGCATGCTTACTAGGTGAAATTGCTAAGAGACAATTGTTTATGATGTCGCAATATCATATGATGTCCGATCAATTAAAAAAAAAAACTATAACATTTTACCCTTTTGTTGTGTAGAACTTGCAACGTATGCCGATGGATATCATATAGTTCACTGTTAAGTCAGTATTTTTATCTTTCACAACCGATTTAGATAGTTTTGAGAATAAGAAAAATCTGCCGTACTTGCGAGTTATATATAAAACTCAACGGGAAACCATTCAACAACTTCATTTACTGATCGATAAAGGTCCCCAAGCAAGTCCGTCAACAAGTTTCTACATATCTTCTGGAACACTTTGGATATAGATTTCACTGTTTTGATCTTCAACACTGACGAAATGGACGAAATGACCACATGGTGGAGGAAACCATTCATTGTTAAAAAATGTAAAACTAAAATAATTTTTAGCTGTCCAGCAAACGGACAAAGTTCTGAGTAAAAACGTTACAAATAACTAAAATATTTTAATTGTACAAGTATTATAGAATTCTTTTCGTAGATGTTAATAAAACATAACTTTTTTTAGAAAGCAAATGGAGACTCAAAATCTGAATAAGTGACATTCGGCGACAGACAGAGCTTTTGAAAGTTCACTGCTTAAAAATGATAAATAATAAGTACATGTTATAATGATAATAGAGATGTAGATATACAAAAATATATTAATATTAATATGAAATTAATAAGTTATTTTGTGATAACCTATTGTTATGATTTGCAATACAACACGAGGGTTGCAACAAATGACAGTCGGCCAATCAGGCAGCATGAACTGGAGCTGGCCAACACAGACAAATTAACCGTTCACTTTTGCGATTATCATACCAACATGTGAACCCACATAAATAGTTAAATAAATAAAATATCTACTGCTCTGTAATTCAACAACTCTCTACTCTAGTACAAACACCAACGTTGGACCAAAAACTCCACCGGGCGATAGTCAAGTAAACAAAACGCTATATATACTGATCTTCTTTTAAACTTACCGTAAACATGTGTTTGATGTGGAAATAGACACGAATCCTAAAATCTTTGGATGAATACTATTTTGTGTTCTTAGCAAATTTTACTGTTGCATTGTTTCTGAATTGTTTTAATCTAAAGACCCGGAATAAATCTGTCTAACATTGATGACACATTGAGATGAATGAATGTTTTTTTGGCCTGGTGATTTCCCAATTTTCCCGTGTTCAATCATGTGTCAATACCTTGCTTATATTCCTGTGCCCTTTCGCTCTATTTTGTTGTATGTATGATACTTAATTATCCGCTGATTGATTCAAATTTTACCTAAAATTAATGAAAGGATACAATATGGGTACAAACAAGTAGTGAGCTTGGAGTACCTGCATAATATTCTTTTTACAATTTTGGTACTCGGGATAGATATTGGGTGTTGTACATGTGGGCTTCATAGAACCGGTGTTCATCTTGACGGTTTTGTCTTTGATAGCCAAGATATTCTTCTTCCAGTTAAATTAATTATTGAAGTATGTTTTTTCATTGTTGGTAAATTTGCATGGTTGTATTCCTCAGTTCAACTAACATTGGGTGATATCGCCGTCCAGGCTATCAAAAAGTGGATTTTAGTATTAATTTCATTGCAGGCATAGTTGCATTTGTGTTTTTCTCAGATCGGCTAAGATAGTTTGATAATCTTTTAACATCCTAAGTATTGGTTTCATTAAAGGCTTCTCACAAAGTCATAGTCGTGAATATTTTCTAAACAGAATATTTAAATTAAGTGTCCGATAACAGTTTGTCCTACTTAAAGACTTGCTATCCTCGTCGTTGACCAAGTGGAACCGGTGAAGAACTTGTATACTACATCGCAGTGACTGTTGGTTCCTGAAATTTTCAAAAACAACATTTAGTTTTAATGTATTTAATTAAAGTATATGCCTAGCATTTAACAAATTCTAGTTCTGCACCTTCAGTATGTAACACGATATAGGTAAACATGAATACTTCTATTTGTTCTGGCATTGAACAGAAAGTTTGTTTTGATCAAACGAATTAGTAAAGTATTTAGGACTTGTAATAACGACAATGACAGTAGTTAAATAATTGCATCAATCAAATAGTATTCTTGTACATTCTATATGAATCAACATCATCACAACAAATACGGAGGGGACACTCGTATTTTACCGGAAAGCCGGGTAACGATCGTGAAAGCACAATTAGTTGTGGTTGTCACAGAGACTGGTAATGATTATGGTGTGACCATTATTGTCATACAACAAGATGACGTCGAGGAGTCTGGTCGCTTAATTTCGAGATTTCGTTCGAAGACAGTTTTTGGTTTAACGGAACTTTCGTTTACACCTTTCAGAGCTCAAGGACTTGTTATTTTCAAAGAACATGCAAGCGTGTGGATACATTCCACATGTGAAATTCTGCAAGCGCGGGTATAGTGTTGAATATTTTAACGTAATTACTTACTTAAAGGTTATAGTCTTCTTTCTTAATTTCAACTGTTATATTAGTATACAGTTTTTCTTCTTTCTTGTGTAACACTCTATACTTTAGAGTGTTAAGCCCATCACTATTGATCCGCCGAATGGCGTTTTTCAATAATTGGAATCTGAAGATAGAAATAGTAATAGAAATCAAATTCCAAGGTTTATCAAATTGTACCTCGCCTTGGCCTGCATAGTTAATATATAAAACAACAACATTACCTCTTCCGTTTATATTTTATTGAATGATCGCATAGATAGCACAACATGTGTAAAAATTAAATGCAGCATTTGAACAAAATCGAAAGCTATTTTTTATTCCTCAATGACTCTGTTTAGAATATCTTCTCACTTGTAGTATTTATGAAAATCTCTTTGATATTTGAAAATATTCCATGAAGCTTTTTATCACATAATGCATTGAATATTAACCCATGCAATGTGACCTTTCAGCCCTGTGATTGGTTGTAAGTTTCAATTGTTACGTCACGCCTATGACAAGTACATGACGTCACAGACTTACGCACTGGAGTCAAAATGGCGGCTTTTTACATTTCAAGTTTGCATGCAAATTGTCGTTTTTCACCAATAAATGCCACAAATCTTGATTATGTGATCAAAAGGATCTTACACTCGTTTTCATTTCATATGAAATTACTTTTAATCAATCAAATCAATCAATCAATCTACCGCATCGCTAGTCAACTCATGAAATCAGTATTTGACAGATTTACAAACAATATTTCAAGTCACCTCTGCGGTAAGCTCAATTGAACCAAGAAGTCTTAGACATAAAACAGAACATCTTTTGTTTGTCCTCTAGCAAATTTAAAAAATAACATACAAAATTAAATGAAACCAGTCCCGCGACTAGCTAGTTTATTGGTACATTTGCCGGGCAGGTTTTTGAAAGACCATTGATCTGTTGGAAAATAATACACGCAAACGCTTGGTCTATCATCCAATAATTCATGCTTATTAATCAATGAAAAGTGTCGTTATAACGCAAACGTGGTAGATTTACCAGTACCGCCAAACTTCGGAGATTTGATGACACAAATGTTTATTTACCATTAACACATACCTTTTTAGTGAAAAAAACGTGTAAATTTGATGACACAAACATGTAATTAGCAGTTATGCTTACCTTTTGGGATTTGGTGACACAACCATGTATTTAACAGTTATGCTTACCTTATGGGATTTGGTGACACAAACATGTAATTAACAGTTATGCCTACCTTATGGAATTTGGTGACACACATATGTAATTAACAGTTATGCTTACCTTTTGGGATTTAGTGACACAACCATGTATTTAACAGTTATGCCTACCTTATTGGATTTAGTGACACAAACATGTATTTAACAGTTATGCCTACCTTATAGGATTTGGTGACACACATATGTAATTAACAGTTATGCTTACCTTTTGGGATTTAGTGACACAAACATGTTTTTAACAGTTATGCTTACCTTATGGGATTTGGTGACACAAACATGTATCTAACAGTTATGCGTACCTTTTGTGATTTGGTGACACAAACATGTATTTAACAGTTATGCCTACCTTATAGGATTTGGTGACACACATATGTAATTAACAGTTATGCTACAAACATGTATCTAACAGTTATGCTTACGTTAGGGGAAGTTATGCTTACCTTTTGTGATTTGGTGACACAAACATGTATTTAACAGTTATGCTATGCCTACCTTTTGGGATTTGGTGACACAAACATGTATCTAACAGTTATGCTTACGTTAGGGGATTTGGTGACACAACCATGTATCTAACAGTTATGCCTACCTTATGGGATTTGGTGCATTAGAACGTTCATGGAGATGCTTTATCATTCTGTAACGTGCTATCGCTATGCTTTGCCTTTCAACAATTAACTTGGCGTTACGGATTCTGAAAACAACTTTCTTTGTTAGTTTATCAAATAATAAGGAAAAGAAAAGAAACGAGTCATGTATAACTAACCGAGAATTTTATAATTTAATGACACTTAATGTAGTAAGCTAGTTCGATTATGAAATTTAACTTAACAATTATTCAGAAAAGAACTGATACAGTTAATACCATTACATTAATTACAGGAACACAAACACGGATTCGTGAAGATTTAACTGGACAAAACTTGTTGTTCACCACAATACAAAAGTAAAAGACAATCTTATTAGAATATCATGTTCGGAATCAGGAAGAATTATTGGTAAGGTATCAAAACAACTGGTATTTAACGAAAAGAAAACATTGTTTTAATCACCTCCACCAAGTAAACTGCTCCAAAACGATTTTGTCTTGACACATCCTTAACTATGATAATAAAATAATCCTACGCTAAATAATGTTTAGTCTTAATTTCCTTACATTATCTAAATAGAAGATATAAATAGAAAGTAAAAATATTAACATGTGCGTTTGTGAGATACTTTATTTTGGTATGATACCGAATGTGGTGATGGTGGAAATTTTTGAATCAACTGTAAGTATAAAACGTTTGTTTAATCAGCGAATGGCATATTTATTTGTTAATGGTTTACGGATATCAAACAGATAAAAAGTAACTGATATGCATTGTATGATCGTATACAATGGTAAGGAAGAGGATATAGAATATCAAGTCTGAGCTTTAATGCTTTATTAAATGAGAAAATGATGAAACGCAAAAGCATTTAGCAGTTTGTTTTGTCTGGTTATAAAATTAATTGACAAAGTAGCATACCTGAAACCTAAATCGTTATCCTCTCCTCCCCATCCAAAGTACAAATTAGAAAATCCGTTGATCTTTTCAAAAGCAGCTCTCGGCAACTGAGTCACTCCACCGATAAGGTTTGGAAAGACTATTCTGAAAGCGATATATAAAAACGGAGTTTAATTCATAGCATGCTATGTATTGCGCGGATCAAATATCTGAACACACAGGGCTTATTTGGTGGTTTCATTAGAAATTAGATTACATGGATATGTAAGATAGGACTACTCGAGGAAGCGAATAAGACAGGTTTCATAGAAAATGATATTCATGGGAATGACTGACAACTATCCAACAATAATCCAATGGACGATTAATAGCGGTTGGCTCATTATATTATTAAATCATATATGATAAATCATGGAAACGGCTCACATGTGCGTTTTGGTGCGTAAGGTGATCGTGGAGACGGCTCACCACTGTAAGGTAATTCGTGGAAACGACGCTCAACTGTAAGGTAATTCGTGGAAACGACCCACCACTGTAAGGTAATTCGTGGAAACGGCTCACAACTGTAAGGTTATTCGTGGAAACGACTCACCACTGTAAGGTAATTCGTGGAGACGGCTCCAAATAAAATGATAATTCGTGGAGACGGCTCACAACTGTAAGGTAATTCGTGGAGACGGATCCCATTATAAGATAAAATCATTGATACGGTTCACAACTTTAAGTTAATTCGTGGAGACGGCTCCCATTTATATATATACAAATCGTGGAAACGACTCACCAATGTAAGGTAATTCGAAGAGACGGCTCACAACTGTAAGGTAATTCGTGGAGACGGCTCCAAATAAAATGATAATTCGTGGAGACGGTTCACAACTGTAAGTTGATTCGTGGGAACGGCTACCATTTATATATATACAAATCGTGGAAACGACTCACATCTGTAAGGATATTCGTGGAGACGGCTCCCATTATAAGATAAAATCATTGATACGGTTCACAACTGTAAGGTAATTCGTGGAGACGGCTCCCATTTATATATATACAAATCGTAGAGACGACTCACAACTGTATGGTCATTTGTGGAGACGGCTCACGACTGTAAGGTAATTCGTGGAGAATGCTCCCAATGATATGATAAATCATGGAAACAGCTCCCAATTGTATTGTATTTCGTTGATACGGCTCGCCACTGTGAGGTAATCCGTGGAGAATGCCCCCCTATCATATGATAAATCATGGAAACGGCTCACAACTGTAAGGTAATTCACGAGGACAGATTACTACTATACAATAATTCATTGATTAAGACAACCAATGACTACTGTCTTTGAGATGAAATAAAACACTATTTCGATTGAAGTACAGATAGCTGTAGACATGTGCTTACCTATAATTAAACTTGTTGATTGCAACAGACAGGTGGCGTACGTTTGTTCCACACCCGTAGTAGATGCGGTCATCCTCAGGAATGAGATCGACGTCATGGAAAACAAAACACGTGTAATTGTATGTTTTTATAGCTTCGGCATATCCAATGTTCATCAGCATCCCCCTGTTAAAAGTGTTGCTTCCAGCCTGCAAAATACCATTTCCTTGGCATTACACATTGTCGTTCTCATCTTACAAACGACATATAAGTTGTAGTGTCACACAAGGTATTGTTTTCTATAACACTAAGCCTTATTCCCAGCCTGCAAAATACTGTATCGTTTTTATAACACTTCGAGTTGCTCACAACCTGCAAAATACTTTATCACAGATTTACATTTCCACGCTTTATCAACTTTGTTCAGATGCATTCCGTTTTCGGCACTGAAGGGCGCTCTTGTGTGATTAGCTATATTTGTATAAAACACAGCGACTGCATTTAAGGCATTTGTATATGAATGATTATCTGGCTTTGGGAAGGGGGCTTGAAGTAATTCCATTTTATTTTCGGTGATGAAGATCTTTCAGTTTCAGAAAATTTATTGTTCAGATCTTAGAAACAAAGGGATTGGGCAACAGGCAAAGCGATGGAGATCTTCTTATACTTCACATTAATAACATAACGATGTCCATATTACAAAAAACACCTGTTTCAATCAGGATATTTAAACCAAGATCTTGTTAAACCCCTTAGGCCAAAATAATGTAACGATCCAGGGATGATTAGGGAATTAGAAGTCAATTATTTCTATGCTGAAGAGAATCAGGTGAGTTTCAAGGATAATCCTACGATGAAACAGATCGCCATACTTACGAGTCGCATGTTCGGAATTAACACAGGCATGACAAGAAAATGCAACATATATATAGTTACCAGAGACTTGAATCGTGACAGTTAGATGTCATATTCCTTTTATTTTTATTTTGGAACTGTTATTTCAGCCGGAGATGTCGACAGACGACCATGTCACTATCTTCGCAAACATCGGGATCCTGGGATTGTGCGCATGCTCGGACCGCCAGTCGTAGCATTTTACACCAATCACCATTTTTTCATGTTTCGGTATTATCATATTTTTCATTATTCTAATTTATTTTTGTGTCCACTGTGATTTGTAACATCACCATGGTTCCTTAGTAATTCATCACGACGCTATGATCTCAATTTTCACCAGGAAATTCGATTAAATCTTGTATCACCTGGCTCAATGGAACTCATCTCATCCCACTTCCGGTTATGACCGTGGTTTGTTTATAACCCTGACAAGAAATATGTCTCCTCCAAAGTGGTATGTAATAACTTTAATACTACACTGCATCCTTTCTGGCTATTTCCCTCGCAGTAAGACCAAAGCACAGCCTGCACGACAACAATTTAAATCGTCAATGATGATGAACACCTATCCACCCCTGAAGTCTCACAATGTTACTACGACGTTGGAAGCCTGTTGCGTTCACCTTTCAAAACACTAAATCGGACACGACAACATGATTACAATCATTATCGTATCTCACTTATTCCTCAAATTGATTCCATGTTTCCACTAACATCGTTGTTCGTCTGTCTGATCAACATTCATCCGACGCATCAATACGGTGTTATGACTGCCACCAAACGGTACATGAAAATTTTACTCCTAATAAGTGGACAGACAGAACTCAACCCTGGCCCATTTGTGCAAAAGTACAAGAGACCTGGTTACACTCTGGTGTCCAATCTTCAGAAGTAATACTTCCTGTTTATATTACATATCAGAACGACAGGAAAAGTGATTGTTATAGCGGTGTCCTTATTGCAATAAAGTCCAACCTCATTAGTACGCCTGTATACAGTAGTCAAACATCAGAACTACTATGCGTCAAGATAGAGTCTACCAAGAGCAAAGCTTTGCTTGTGTCCTCATAGCCCTCCAGGAATGTGTGAGAACGGGCCACACGAATCCGTGGATCAATACCGACATCAGGCGCCAAATCAGACCTAGAGACCGGGCCTACCATAAAGCCAAGGCTTAGAAAAGGACATGGATTGGAAAAGGTACCACACCCTAAAAACTGAGACAAAGAGAGAGATCCGAACAGCCCACAACCATTATGTCAGTAACATCATCAGTCCGGACAGTAAGCAGAACCCCGAACGATTCTTGTCTTTTATCAAGAGTAACAGACAAGAATCGTCTGTTGTCGCCCCCTGCCTGTTGTACAGCGATGCCAGAACTAGGTCTGAGATCTTTAACTCCCAGTTCAGCTCCGTATTCACCTCAACATTATGCCCTCTATGGGTCACAGTCAACATCAGACAATGCGTGACATCACGGTAACAGAGCAGGGAGTGAAGAAGCTCTTGAAGGGACTCAAACCACACAATACTTCTGGCCCTGGATTCCATATCAGCAAGACTGCCTAAGGAACTATGTGAGGAACTCACACCTGTCCTCACCACCATTTAACAGAGGCATGTAAAATGGCACACGTAGTCTCGGTTTTTCAAGGGGACTGCTCCACTGCTGCAAACTACAGACCGGTATTGCTGACTTCAATTTGATCAAAGGCAAAGCTGATTGAACACATCATACACAGCTCCGTCATGCAAAATATGGACGACGAGCAAACACTATCAGACACTCAACACGGATTCCGGAGAAGGCGCTCGTGTAAGACGCAGCTAGTGAAGACTGTTTACGACTTTGCGTTGATGCAGGAAAACAGATGGACATCGTACTTCTTGATTTTTCCAAGGCCTTCGACAAGGTCCCACACGAGCGACTACTCGTCAAACTTCACAACTACGGAATCGAGGGAAACCTACATGCATGGAATAGGAACTTCTTAAACAACAAGAAGCAACGAGTCATCGTGGAAGGGAGCAAATCATCGGAAGCGGACGTACTATCAGGAGTACCCCAAAACACCGTGATTTGCAGGTTTCCTTCTAACGATGATTACCTTCTTGCTTAATGTATAACGGTGATTGTAAGCCAATAGTTTTACAATTATAACTAATACAATTGTCCATATGTTTGAAAGCGCTTTAGAGTAATTTTTCAAATCATATAAGGCACTAGATAAATGTTGTATATTATCATTATTATGCTCGATCATCTCGGATGGGACCTGTAGGCTGTCGGGAGAGCTAGGGCCAGGGCAACATTAGTGTACAATATCATTAATAATGTTGTGGAAGTAGAGTTTAGCCAAAAGATCTGTCAGGTAGATGCAAGGACCAGTGGGGCCACTAGCGGTAGCCTAAGGCAAATCCAGGTCAAAATAGACATCTACCAAAACTCCCCCCCCCCCATCTTTATCTGGAACAACATCACCAGTGATATTAACGCCGCACAACTNACCAGTGATATTAAGGCCGCACAGCTACAGTCGAGAGCTTCCAGGCCTCATTACGACCAGAGGACCTCACAGGGAAGCACTACGGAGACTGAACCGCTGAACCAATGAACTCGTTTTTAACCACAGTTTTTCACCATATTCTATTTATTGGTACCGATTGTCATGCATTCAGTCGAGTTGCATTTACGACCGACTACTGAAGAGTTGATACTTATAACTTGTAATTAAGACCAAGTCTTTTAAATTTTGGATTCCGTATGATCCAGCTAGTCCTACAAAATGTACATAGGATTCTCTTTTTATAAAAAAGAAACACCCCATTTTTATCTGGCGGTTCTAGATATGGCCACCATATTGCTGGAGCAGCACACCCCTTAGGGTTAGCTCCTGTCTAGGAAGATGATGATGATGATGATGATGATGATCGGAACTCTTTAGTGTCCGGATGGTCGAAACTAATACCCAAATGTAAACCCCGCAACGGATATGGACATTATATCGGCCGTAATTCGGAATTTGGCAGGAAAGGTCACGTGCGATTACTCATGAATAGTATAAAAGGCGAGAAAGTCGTCGATTTTAAGGTCATTCCATTAAATATCTTCTGCCAAGGATGTATTGACAATGTGTCTAGTTTCTTGATTTTATCCAATGATGGGTAAAACTTGTGAAGCTTAAGTAATTTCTTGAGATCATAATTCAAACAATAACTGATTTCGGATACATATTTGACTTCACTCTAGTTTCGGGTAAATCTTACCCAAGTACGGGTAAACTGGGTACCCGGACATGGGTAAAGCACCTTAGGTAAATAAGTAAGCCATTCTCTATACTGGATCCATATGGATTGTGAGCTGGATACCAATGTGTTTTATGATATTTATCATATTGTTTACTTGCATTTCTGCTTCTGGTCTTCTTTTGGTCACAGTTCTAGGCTGGGAACGAACCTTAATTTTATGATAAAATTCTCTATCTAACCCAATCACGACAACAAGATACCAAGTAGTGAAAGTGTTACAATACTTACTTTGATGGAGAATCTGAAAGATATTTTCACCATAAATTTCCCATTTGTCCTAGACAATTACATTTTCAGTAAGTATACATTAAAACATTTTTTGTATTGAATGCTGTAGAAACGAGCAGTCATGAAGCTGTATATGATATAAACTATCTGATAATGACGAAGTTTATTGTTATAAGCAGAGGATTCACTATAAAGTAAGGGCTTCGTACTATTGCTCGCAATTGCAATTCTAGTTATTATTAAGTCACCCCGTGGTGGAATATATACACTGTTATAACATTCAAATGTGCCAAAAGTTCAATAACACGTATATGAATATCAATTGCTGATTTTGACCCTATCAAACGTGTTTGTGTTACTTAAAAATATAGCATTCATACAACCTGTTCGACTAAGAATATTCCGTAGTCAAGCTGCTGTGTTCGAAGCATTAAATGGAGGTTATAGAGGACCGTGCGCAGCTGTAATTCTCTGTTCCGGTAGGGTATCACTATGGCTACTCGCTGGCTAGTTTCACACATCAGTGGGGCGTAACGTCCGCCTGGGTTTAGATGGTCCAAAATTGTCTCTAAATCTTTTAATGGTGGTCCTTGATGATATGTTCGCAAACAGCCAACTGTAAAATGGAAATAACGTAAAATTTCTCACAATAAGTTTCTTCTTTTCGTTCTTCCGTGTTTTAATATTAGTACGGCATGTTGGATGTTTTTTAACGTTTTGTATTCAGTTTTGACTCTTTGATTGTATACCTTTACACTTTTATTTCAATCTATACTAACAATTTTAAAAACTAGCAATGCTTATTTTAGAAAGGTAAGAATTAGTATCAATGTGGGTGTTACGTACATATACGCTACACTTGTACTTTATTGTTGCTATATCTCTATCGTACTTGGTGCTCAGCACCGAGCCATTTCATCGGCGTACATCTGTATTTATATTATTCGTTCGTTTTTATTGCTTTTAATAATGTTTTTCCTTGATTTTTTTTTACATCAATTATCCACACTCAACTCGTGTAGATCAATCATTCTCTTTCAAAGCATACATATATTGCTACCACATTCTACTCCCTATCTGGACAACTCTTTCATTCCCTTTCACACTCACTTTGTGATATGTTGATAGTGATGTAAGTACAATCTTTAGTAATGTTAGTTGTTTTAATACGTACATGTATGACTAGAGGTTGTCTAAGTGGTTGGGCCAACCCCTACAAACAAATACTTCCTCTAGCCATATCTATAAGTTGTTTATCAAACTCATAACTAATTCTTTGGGCATACTTTGCTGATATAACACGTATACCTATATTATGTATTTGTTCCCTTAGAGGAGAAATTCTTTAAACTTTAAACAGCAAAGTCAATGTTCTATATCTTGTACTGTCGTATATATACTGTCTAACCAATGTTCTAGAGAAAACCTGATAGGTTGGGCCAGTCCATACCGACTAACACTTCCTCCAGCCATAGGTATAACTAGGGAAAGGTTGGTCCAGTCCATACCGACTGACACTTCCTCCAGCCATAGGTATAACTAGGGAAAGGTTGGTCCAGTCCATACCGACTGACACTTCCTCCAGCCATAGGTATAACTAGAGAAAGGTTGGTCCAGTCCATACCGACTGACACTTCCTCCAGCCATAGGTATAACTAGAGAAAGGTTGGTCCAGTCCTACCGACTGACACTTCTTCCAGCCATAGGTATAACTCGAGAAAGCCTGAGAGGTTGGGCCAGTCCCTACCGACTAACACTTCCTCCAGCCATAGGTATAACTAGAGAAAGGTTGGTCCAGTCCATACCGACTGACACTTCCTCCAGCCATATATATAACCGGAAATGATCGATAACCCTTTATCTAAGTTCCACGATGTTCTAAAATTATAATTAACAAAAAACGAGAATTAAAATAAAAACGGTTTCCCCTAGTGTATTAACGATTATCTGTCAGTATGTTGTATTACTTGTATGTAGATTGATACTACGTTCACATATTACGAATAAATGCTTTTTATAGGTTGGACGGTTTGCGTCGTAAAGTGATAACATGTTGTTATTCATGTTTAAGAATTGATACAATGTTTACAGTGTCCCTTTTTTGTTTAGTTTGATGATATGCTTTATATATAATAAACCCAATTTGAGTTAACAAAATATTTACTTCCACAGTATTAATCTGGTATATCTTATAACCTAAATTCAGCTTTATTATTTTCTTTTGCAATTTAATCTTAAAACCAATTTAACTGACACTATCTAGTATCACTTTTAATTTGAACTCAAAGGTAGCTTCAATAGCTGTTACACATGTATACACAAATAAGTCGAGAGCTGTTATACACTTAAATAAATAACGAAACATCCATACACGAGCATTCAGAAGTGTCCCGTTACCCAGATATGGGCAATCACAGGTGACCGCTCCTTACTAGTGGGAATTTTAATGAGCTAACAGGTCACGTGATACTTGTGACGTCATAAGAGCAGGTGTGGGGCACTAGTCCATATACTAGTAGCTAGGGTTCAGGAGCTACAGTAATATATATATACATTGTACTAGTATATTATAAATCAGAAAAATGATCCTTACGGACGAATAAATATTATATAAAGAAAAATTCTTAACAACGAGTCTTTAGTACTTTCATCTCTTCTAGGAGATTCTTCAGACTCATTATACTAGTATATACTAGTTAACCATATAGGTTAGAATTTTTCCATAGCGTTAAGCATGAGTAGATAACGCTCCTGAACCCTAGCTACTAGTATATGGACTCTTGCCCCACACCTGCTCCTATGACGTCACAAGTATCACGTTCATTATACTAGTATATATATAGGAGTTGTAGCTTCTGATTGATTGTGTGGTTTTACTTTCTTTTCACTTCCGAGTATGGTTAACCGAACTACTCGGTAATGAAGCGGAAGTTAAAACACTCAATCAATCCGGAGCTATACAGCCCCATTGTATGATCGTAAGAAGCGACTATATTTGGGATCTTATCTTTTCTCTTTTTTAAACAACTTTAGTTGAATGTTCGCCCCTGTGAGGAACGTTTATGGTTCTATCCCCTGACCGAGACATACCAGAGTCTGTAAAAATGGTAGTTTCTACTCATGCTTATCACTCAGAAATTTAGGAGTCCTGCTGGGTGTCTTCGGCAGTATATTTCAGTGCGGTAGCACTATAAATTCGGCATCAGTTCTGCGCTATTACAAGGAGACAAATACGAACATAACGCAGCCTCCCAAGACCAAAACGTGGTGTTCTGGTCCCTCCAGCAGTTTTTGTAACCACATGTCAAATACTGCAACTTTCATGAAGAATTTGGCTCTGTACATGTAACAGACACTATATATTGTGCCTGTGGTTTTTAAAGCGCAAATTTGTCTGCATTTATGGTGTTTTGAGGATCCAAATATTTAGAGACAGACCATGGTTCAGTGTCCACACTATTGACCACTATCAGCTATACTGCACTGTACTGGTTGACACTTCCCTGTACACCTATACACCTGTATTGGACATCTATATATTTATTGTGACAAGTGTATTTGTGTCTGAAGTGAAAATGGCTTCTACCAGAAATGCGAGCACCAGCAACAATGAAGGACAGTCGAAGGGTCCTAATTCTGGAAGACTTGGTGACATATCAAGGGGGAAAATGTCTACCGATGAAAAGCTGGATAATATTTATGTTATCCTATCCACGCTCAAAGAGGAAATACACTCACAGATGATAATTCTAAGAGAGGATACTAAAAAGGAAAACAGAGAACTTGTTGAAAGACTTGAATGTCGTGTTTTTGATCTCGAGGAGTAGAATGATGATTTAAACAGACAGTTAGCAAATTGGAGCAACACTTGGTAGAATCGGAAGATAGGCAATGTGAGCAGGACAATACACTAAATGATTTTGAACAGCACGGAAGGAAAAGCTTTATTCAAATAGTGGGACTTGAGGATTCCATCAAGAATGAAACTGTTGAGGAGTGCGTTGAAAAGATTGTGAAATTTGTATATGACAAACTGAATGTCACAATTGATGAAGCAGATATCGACATAGCCCATAGACTTGGTGTGTGCCAGCGGGGTAAACCTCGAAATATTATCTGTAAGCTAACCCACCGTAGGAGGCAATTCGAGATGATCAAACAGAGGAAATTACTGAAGGGAACACGATGCTACATTATGGAGGACCTAACCAGGATCAATCAACAGACAGACTTAAAGAGGCTTTTGAACTTTTGATCCTGGAGCACTGAGGGGAAACTGTTTGTGTTACTGAAAAACGGGGAAAAACGGAGTATTCAATACAACACGATCCAGGCTTCGGCTTTCCTGATGAACGATGACAATTTTACCCGTAAGTGAACTTATCTGTGAAATCGGTGACTTTTTTATGTACAAAAAAACATCCTTATGAAAAATAAATATAACATATATAAATGTGTGCATATATAGATTGATCAGATAATGACATTATATGATTCATACTGTGTATTCGTTTGATATGGCTTGGTGATACTTTACAAGCTAATATCAGATACGTTTTATTTTTGCTACCTTTAATCCGCATTCGTATGTATGTATGTAATGTATGTATGTATGTTTGTATGTTTGTATGTATGTATGTATGTATGTATGTATGTATGTATGTATGTATGTATGTATGTATGTAATAGTTGATGGTAGACTATGTATATAGGTATAAATGATATGCAGTCATACTTTTTATGTGTGCGGGATGAAACCGATAGAAAGGATATTGTGTCTAATAGCTAATATATTAAAAGTCAAAGTATCGCTGATATGGGCTATATCTTATCATTGTCCCAATTGGGACGGTTGCAACCGTGTAGGAAATTTTACCTATAATAATAGTCTTTTCTTCTTTCGGAACAACTCGGGATTTCTTAACGAATTTAACTGTTCATTTCAAGGAAATATTTGGGGAAACATTTAGAAATTGACAGGTTTTTAGTGGGAGTAGTATATAGAGCGACACCGTTCATTCCGTACTGTATCGTATAACTACATGTATTTAGTGATTTTTGTATAATTTCACGTTCCTTTTTTTCTATCATTTTGAAATGGGTTTGTTTGGAGACAGTGATAAGCAAAACAAGTTTTTTGTAAATATGTTTTGGGTGAAAACAATAATTGATTTGTTCTTTATTTTTTTAGTGGTACAGTCGTCGGAGTAGCATATGCACATGTATTTGTGATTGTTTCATTCTTCTGCCGGGACCTCGGTTATTTGTCATTTCATCATATTTTATTGAGTAGGATTGAACAGCAGGCTAGGCCTATATAAGTTCTCTTCTTAGGTTGACATGACAAAGACAAAGATGAATGAAATGGTTTGTAAGAAAATATTGATGCAAATCATATATAATAAGTAGCATAGACATATATATATATATAGCAGATGGTATAGGGGAGATAATTCCATGTATGTTTCAATTACATATACATATATTTTTATATTTTTAGCTATACAATGCTCATATTAAAAAGTTAATCATAATTAATTAGTAATAGGAAAGCAATGCCCTAATGATATATTAAACAGAGAAATTGCTACAATTGTTTTTTTTGATATTTTGTCA